AGAGTGCTACTAGCAATAGTGGCACATTATGACTTGGAGCTCGAGCAGCTAGACGTGAAGACAGCTTTTCTACATGGAGAGTTGGAAGAAGAAATTTACATGACTCCGCCAAAAGGATTCGAGGTTCCGGGAAAAGAAGACTATGTTTGTAAGTTGAAGAAGGCCTTGTATGGACTTAAGCAATCTCCGAGGCAGTGGTACAAGAGATTTGACAGTTACATGCTTGAGCTGGTCTACAACAGAAGTCCATATGATTGTTGTGTATATCACAGCAAGGCAGAGGATGGTTCGATGATATATCTAGTTCTGTATGTGGATGATATGCTCATAGCTGCGAGGTCAAAGTCTGATATCCAGAAGTTAAAGGGGCTTCTCAGTGCTGAGTTTGAGATGAAGGATTTGGGAGCTGCTCAGAAGATCTTGGGTATGGAGATTTACAGAGACAGGTCGAAGAAGAAGCTTTTCTTGTCACAAGAGCTACCTCCAGAAGATACTGTCGAGGTTTGGCATGTCTTCAGCAAAGCCCTTAAATACTCCTAGTGCTTCAAATGTTCATCTATCCTCAGCTTATGCACCGCAGTCAGAGGCTGAGAAGGATTACATGTCGAGAGTCCCATTTGCTAGTGCAGTAGGTAGCTTGATGTACGCTATGGTATGCACTAGACCTGATCTTGCACATGCTGTTAGTGTTGTCAGCAGGTTTATGATACAACCTGGGAAGGAGCATTGGCAGGCTGTGAAGAGGATCTTCCGGTACCTTAAGGGTACACCTGATGTGGGGATTAGCTTCGGAAGTTATACAGAGTGCTTGGTGTCCGGGTATTCTGACTCGGACTATGCTGGAGATGTTGACACGAGGAGATCGATGACCGGTTATGTATTCACTCTTGGGAGTTCTGTAGTGAGCTAGAAGGCAACTCTGCAGTCGGCAGTGACATTGTCTACTACTGAGGCAGAGTATATGGCGTTGACAGAAGCTGCTAAGGAGGGAATATGGTTGAAGGGACTGGTTGGTGATCTAGGTCTACATCATGATCAGGCAGTGGTGTATTGCGACAGTTTGAGTGCAATATGTTTGGCCAAGGATCAAGTCCACCATGAGAGGACTAAGCACATCGATGTGAGGTATCATTTCTTGAGGACACAGAAGAGGATTAAGGTGAAGAAGGTTGACACCGCGGATAATCCTGCTGATATGTTCACGAAGCCGGTTGCACATGGCAAGTTCCAACACTGCTTGGACTAGCTGAATGTCTTGAGTGGGTGACTCCGCCCTACGGGGCATTGATGGCGGGAGAGAGAGAAGGAGCAGAGTACATCAGAGATTTCAGAGGAAGAGGATTTAAGTCAAGGTGGAGATTTGTTGATATGACTTGAATCGGACTATCAGCCGCTACAACTGGTAATCGGGGGTCTCGCTGTTATTTGGGTTCGGGTTCTGGGCCTGGTCTGTAACCGTTTCCTTTGTCAGATTGGATTAGGTTTAGACCCACATAGAGAAGTACTATAAATACTCCTCATACTCCTCTCTAATCTGTAATCTCCTCGATATAGTGAAATTGGCTCTCTCTCGCCCGTGGACGTAGCTAACACACATCGTATTAGTGAACCACGTAAATCGTGTGTCGTGTTTTTGATTCTCCCTTTCATATTCTTGCTTTGTCGATTCCAGCGTTTTCCCGATCCGTAGCAGCGCGTTTATAACAGGACTTATGGGGCCCTTCTCCTGTTACTGCTAGGCTAGGGTTTTGTTACATTGCGCTATGCAGTGATCAGGTTACTCGGTTCACCTGGGTTTACTTCCTCATGCAGAAATCAGAAATGATTGACGTTGCTCGTGATTTTATTCATATGGTTTCTAATCGGAAAGGTTATCAAGATACTATGCTCGGATCCCGGGGTGAATTTGCGTCTCACTTGCTTCATGATCTCTTTCGACAGCAAGGATCCTTCCTCAACAGTCTTGTCCGGGTGTCTCACAGCAGAATGGGGTAGTGGAGCGTAAGCATCGTCATGTCCTTGAACTTACCCGTGCCTTACTCTTTCACTCTCGAGTTCCTCCTAGCTTCTGGCTCAAGGCCATTCATACTGTTGTGTACTTGATTAATCATGAGGTCACCCCGGTTCTTGATCAACAGAGTCCCTACCAGGTTCTTTTTCGCGTATTCTAGACTATAAGTGGCTTCGAGTTTTTGGGTGTGTTTGTTACGTTCTTCTTCCTCGTTGGGAACGTAATAAATTATCTCCCAAGGCTACGAAGTGTGTGTTTGTCGGGTATAGTGACAAACACAAGGGATATGTGTGTTATGATGTGGCCAATAGACGTCTTCTATCTCTTGTCACGTGGTATTTTTTGAGCATTCGCCCTACGATGCGTCAGACCAATTAGTGGACATTTCTCAATGGGATTTTTTTGCTCCTTTTCCTACTTTTTCGACCCCCTCGGCTCCTCTCGTTCTGGAGGATGATGATACTCCTCCTACTCCTCCTCATCTGGTTCGTTCTCGTCATCCTCTACCTCCTCTGGTTCTTCTTCGTCCTCAGCTTCCTCTGGCTCTTCGGATCACGACGAATAGGTGGTTCCTCTTCTGCGGCACTCGGATCGTATTACCAAAGGAAAGCCTCCTGCTCAACATTCTGATTTCGTTGCTTACTCCGCCACGTCCCCTATTTTTGCTCATGCCACCTACAAGCAGGCTCAAGGTCTTCCGCAATGGGAGGCAGCTATGAATACTGAAACGGACGCATTAGAGGCACAACACACCTGGGATCTTGTTCCTCGGCTTCCTGAGATGACTGTTATAGGGAGCCGGTGGGTTAATGCGCTCAAGTTTCTTCCTGACGGGTCCCTTGAACGTCACAAGGCTCGTGTAGTTGCTCAAGGATCCCGACAACAGTTCGGTGTGGATTATGAGGAGATGTTTGCTCCTATGGCTAAAATGCAAACTGTTTGGAGTCTCATTGTTGTGTAAGCAATGCAAGATTGGCCTTTGATACAGTTGGATGTCAAGAATTCCTTTCTGCATGGGGAGTTGAAGGAGACAGGATACATGGAGCGTCCACCGGGTTACTCAAAGGAAAAATAAGACCATGGTTTCTCATCTTCGTCGGTCATTGTATGGTCTGAAGTAGGCCCCTAGAGCTTGGTTCGAGAATTTCCAGAGTACGGTTATTTGGGCGGGGTTTGTTCAGAGTCAGAATGATCCCTCCTTGTTTCTTCGACGTACAGATTGTGGCATCACAGTCCTGTTAATTTACGTTGATGATATGATCATTAGTGGCAATGATCAGGCAGGTATCCAGTCTCCTCCGGGATGCTTTTAATCTCAAAGAGCTGGGTACGTTATCTTACTTTTTGAGCTTGGAGTTTGATCAATCGGTGGCAGGTATTCATGTGCGCCAACTTAAATATCTTGTCGATCTCTTGGATGAGGCCAAATGGACACCTGGAACTCTTGTGCAACGGAGATGGAACAAAATTTGAAGTTAACACGGGCTTCTGGCGAGTTACTTCAGGATGGTACTCTGTATTCTAGTATTGTGAGCAGTCTGATATATCTTACTCACACTCGTCCTGACATTGCCTCTGCATTACAGGTTGTTAGCGAGGGCATGTCTGCGCCTCACACTCACCATTGGGGTGCTGTATAGCGGATCCTACATTATCTCCGGTGCACGCAGACTGTGGGCTTACATTTTCCAGTGGGTGCTAGTCCTGTTCTTGAGGCTTATGCTGATTATGTCGGTTGCTTAGATACTCGGCGGTCAACGTCTGGTTGGTGTGTGAAGTTTGGACGGTCTTTTGTATCGTGGCGCTGCAAGAAACAAGATTGGGTTGCGAAGTCTTCTACTGAAGCAGAGTATCGATTGATGAGTGAAGTTACTTCTGAACTGGAGTGGCTGCAGCGTTTGTTCGATGATTTCAGGGTAGTGTGTCGCGCACTCCTATTCATCTCTATGCCGAAATCACTAGCGCGATTCGGATTGCCATCAACCCAATGCTCCACGATCGCACCAAACACATTGATGTTCATGTTCACTACATTTGCCAGTTCGTGACGGAGGGGACTATTGAGCTTGCCTATATCACGCCAGAGGATCAGACGACAGATTTGTTAACTAAGGCGGTTGCTTCTGCATGACATTGATTTTTGGCTCACAAATTGATGTTGCGCCAACACCATCAGTTTGAGGGAGGGTGTTATAAGTTAAAGGTTTAAGTACCTTTTTGTAATTCGTCATGTACATAATTTTCCTTTTCTGGGTGGCCGAGTATATATGTATTGGTGAAAGGCTTCGGCCGATGTATGCTTCTGTGAACGTGAATAAGAGATCACAGCCTTCTCTCGTGGACTAGTCTCAGCGATCATCATCGTTGGGGAAACCACGTAATCTCAGTGTTCTGTGTTGCGTAATCTTTCAGGTTTGATCGCGATTGATAGTGTGTATTATGAATCAGGAAAAATTCTGGATAATCATTACTAATAATTAGATTCACCATAAGCCCGAGAGGTTAATTTGATGTAGTGGCTAGGCAATAGTGATTGTGTAGATAATAAAGAGATAATGAAGTGGCATATGCATACCGCTCGCCACTTTCATTTCATTACATAAATGTAAGTACGTAGCATTGACCATATGGTGGCCACACATACATGAATCCCAGTACAATACCCGGGACGAACTCACAACTAACGTTACAAAACACAAAGGATCCACATACCTGTGGGGAGACAATAACTGAATAAAGGGTCACCACAGTACTACGTACGTACTAGAGTAGTTGAGAGTCTCTACCAGCTGTCTCCCCGACTCGTACCACATTTTATTATTGATAATAATTAACTATAAGGGCAGAACCTAATATGGCCGCTTAATTCCCTGCTTTCGTTCGTTTACACGTACGCTTCACTTGATGCTGCCAAAAGAAAACCAGAGAACATATTAAAAACTATGAGGATAGAAATAATAACAACTACTAGAGCATGGAAGGTTGAAATCTAACAATAAAAAAGAATGACGTACGATTTGCAGTTGGTGCTGGGGCTGATCTTGTAGGGAATGTTGACAGCACAGGCACCGGGGAGGCCAGCGGCCTTGCTGAGGTCGAGGCCGCGGACTGAGCCAGCGGTGGATTTCAAGCACTCGCAAGCGGCTTGGCGGTCAGGTGTGGTCTGGGCGGCACCGTTGAGGCTCCTCACCCCGTTGCAGCATCCCGGGGTGACCGGCCCACTTCCGGTCAGGTAACCCAGGCATGGGGCCAAGCTGCTCGTCACCTGACCGCATGTTATGGCATCCACCGACGCAATGTATGGAGCTGCCACCAAGGCGCATACCAGAACCATCGACACCATCTTCGCTGCTGCACCCGCCATTTTTCGCAGCACAAAGACTATATAGTAGGACTAAGAGAAATGTAAAAGAAAGGTTTTGTTGTTTTGGAAAGCTGCTCGATAGAAGACTGCTGGGTGAGTGAATGTTGAAGCTCCCGGAGGAGGGTTTATATAGGAAAAGTAGAGGATGGGTTTCGGTCGTGGGTCGGCCGGGCTGGTTAGTTGGTTGATCGGTGGTTGGGCCGGTATTTAATGCGTTTTCCACTCCCCGGCAATCAAAGTCTCCAATCGGGACGGGGACTTGCCAACCTACGAGCTGGCTCTCTCTCTCATTGGTCCAATGAAGTACTCTTTGACGTATAACCATTTCCTTTGCCTTTTTCACGGACAAAGGAAATAATGACACGTACGTACTATGGTCTAGCTGCCATTTATTTGTTTGTTCCCACCTCTGTTTTTTTTTTCTGCCTTAACAATTAACATTGAGATGGTAGGAATAATATATATGACACTACTAAATAACTACGCGGGCAGTTATAAGTTTTGTGTTATTTGGCCTGGTGTTCGAGGACACTAGCTTGGACGCGTCTGCCGCATATTAATTGTCTGCATCAGGACAGTAGTACTGATTGAGTAGGGAAGTAAAGGTGGTCCAGTTAATAATCTGTGCCAGCAGTAATGATGAATCAATTAGTCAAAAATGGAAGGAGAAGCATAATAACCCTCGTGATCAGGTAATTGGTAGAATATATAAACAAGCCGATCGATCAATCTATTTATGTGCATAGATGACGCTCATACACGGAGCTTCTAAGTAGTTTTTTAATACCTTGTGTGCACGGGATGATAATTTGGATATTGCTCGTTCGATTTTATTCGTGTAAGTAGCATGGTTCTGGTTGGTTTTATTTGTGCCTTATCTCCCATTCCGGAGCGGATTCCTTGTATAAACATAGATCTGGATTTTTTCCCCCACTCAAAACTAAGGGCCCTTGCATTATTTTTTACGTCCTATATTAAATTTTTTATGAACAATATTATATATTCCATAAAAAAAAACTAAAGTACTTATTGGCAACACACCCTGCCAATTGATTAAAGTAAACATCAAGATTTTGTATATAATCTGTTCATCTAAAGATGTGGAGTATAAACCTAGGAGGCTAGGACTACTATAGCCACAACTACAAGCTCAACAGCAGCGAAGGACATCAAGAGACATAAAATAGACCACAATTGGGACATATTTTCTCGACCAACAACAATACACACATCTTCTTTTATTACCTTCAGTAGCACTTCATGACTTCTGCTCATCATGTTACTCCCATACCTCAGGCAACATCATCGTTCCCTCCAAATTAATCCCACCATTGCCCTCCGAATTAATCCTACACAAGCATCGATAGCTTTACACTTGAATCGGTTCATATGCCAAGCCAGCTCCAACTCCCACTGATCCGAGACTTTCATGTCACAGGGCTTAGAGAACAATCCTGCAAAAAAAAAAGTGATAGACTGGACAAAAGGCAAACAAATGGTCTCTAGTCTCATTACCAGTTTCACAAAGCACACATGCTAAAGAACCTGAGTACCCCCAACTAGCCATCTTATCACAAGTATAAATATAATCATTCACAACCATCCATGCCAAAAACTATAGAAATTGACGGAAAGTAAAGGAACACTTGGTTTAACGTGGTTCTTCCTCACAGTAGGTGAGGCTTACATCCACGGAGAAACGATCGGGATTTTATTTCATAGTTTGGCCAGAGGCCTTACACGTATACTTATACCCTAGGCTACATACATCAATTAGGGCACAAAGAGGTTTCTCAATACGTGTTGGAGAAGGTCTCCCGAGAGCAGTAGGCAAGCGTATACATGGCTTGCATGGGCTGTAGAAATTGACGGAAAGTAAACGAACACTTGGTTTAACGTGGTTCTTCCTCACAGTAGGTGAGGCTTACATCCACGGAGAAACGATCGGGATTTTATTTCGTACTTTGGCCAGAAGCCTTACACGTATACTTATACCCTAGGCTACATACATCAATTAGGGCACAAAGAGGTTTCTCAATACGTGTTGGAGAAGGTCTCCCGAGAGTAGTAGGCAAGCGTATAGCATGGCTTGCATGGGCCGCAGAAGTTGCCTGGCCAAATACTCCCCCGCAAGCTGAGGCGTGAAGGTCACGAACACCCAGTTTGGACAGAAGAAAATGAAAGTGCTCCCCACCTAATCCTTTTGTGAGTAGATCCGCAAGCTGAAGCTCCGACCGGACTTTGACCGGGAGAATATCGCGTGACTGAACACGTTCACGAACGAAATAACAATCCATTTCCACATATTTGGTTCGTTCATGGAAGACGGGATTTTTGGCGATATGTAAGGCTGCCTGGCTATCACAGTGGAGAGGGGTAGGATCAACTTGAGGGACGCCCAACTCAGAGAGAAGCCAACGGAGCTACAAAACTTCACTAATCGTGCTAGCCATGGCACGATATTCAGCTTCAGCAGAAGAACGAGCAACAACCCACTGCTTTTTGGTGCGTCAGGATATGGGGGCGCCACCAAGACTAATGAATTATCCCGATGTAGAGCGCCGAGTCTGTTCACACCCTCCCCAATCTGCGTCACAGTACGCGGTAAGACGAAGAGGATTGTTTGTTGGGAAAAACAAGCCTTGTCCTGGGGAGGTTTTGAGGTATCGAAGGACTCAGTAAGCTGCATCCAGGTGCTGCTGACATGGAGCATTAACAAACTGGCTCAGAATATTGACTGCATAGGTGATGTCTGGCCGAGTAACAGTTAAATAAAGCAGTCAACCCACAAGACGATGATAGGGAGAGGGGTCTGTGAGAAGATCTGTGCTTGGCCGAGTGAGGTGATGATTCTGTACCATAGGAAAAAAGCTAGGCCGGACACCTTGAAGACCAGCATCTTCAAGAATATCCAAGACAAACTTGCGTTGACTGAGTACAGCTCCTGTAGCTGTGTGAGCAAATTCAATGCCCAAGAAATATCGAAGGGAACCCAAGTCCTTGATGCTGAAACGCTGATCCAAGAACTTCTTGACCCGAGATATAAAAGACAAATCATTACCAGCCAGGATGACATCATCCACGTAAATGAGTGCAGCAACGAAAGTACTGCCGTGATGATAAATAAAGAGCGAAGCATCCGCGGGGGAAGACCTGAAGCCAAACTCACAGAGCGCCGCAGTGAATTTCTGGTACCAGTTTCGGGATGCCTGACGAAGACCATAGATGGATTTGTGAAGACGACAAACCCGAGTGTAACCAGGCGCACGAAAACCTTGAGGTATCTCCATGTAAACTTCTTCCTCAAGATCACCATGCAGGAAGGCATTGTTCACATCCAACTGGTGAATGTGCCAGCCGCGACTAACCGCGACAGCTAAGAGACACCGAACAGTTAACAATTTGGCTACGGGTGCAAAAGTGTCGTGGAAATCGAGACCTTCAATTTGGGTGTACCCTTTGGCCACTAGGCGAGCCTTGTACCGCTCAATGGTACTGTCGGGGTAGAACTTGATCTTATAAACCCACTTGCAAGCAATAGCGTGCTTCCCTGGAGGAAGAAAGACGAGGCTCCAAGTGCCATTCTTCTCCAAGGCAGCAATTTCGCGTGCCATTGCCTCTCGCCAGCATGCCTCGCGAATCGCTTGATAGAAGTAACGATGCTCGTCAAGACGCATTTGAGCTGCAAGAAAAGCAAGATAAGTGGGCTTAAAATGGTCATAATTAACATAATTTGCAAGGGGGTACTGAACTTGATGAGAAGTACTTCCCTGTGCATTATCGGATGGAAAGCTAGTATCAAAACCATCAAAGTGCTTGGGGCGCCGTCAATTTCTATCACCACGTCGGAGTTCAGGAACGGGGGCCGGATCGCGGTCAGCGCTCACCAATTGTTGAGGAGAGTGAGGCTCGCCAGCAGAGCTACTTGCGGGCCCAGACGTAGAGCCTGGGGAATTCGACCCAGGATTGAGTGAAGGTGGACTGGCGCTGGATGAGCCCACGATAGGAGAAGGGGTTTTTGGTGATGCTGGGCCAGATGCTGTTGGGCCGGATGATGTCTCGGCTGGCCCAGGCTGCTGTGTCTCTGTTGGGTGAACTGGAAGTGAAATCGAATGCAAAGGGGAGGCATCAGAAGTATCCTCAATTGGCTGAATAATGGGACGAGGTACCCAATGAAGCTAGCTCTCTGTCCCGTCCTGAAATGGAAAGATGGTCTCACGGAAATTTACATCATGAGAAGTCAACAATTGATGTGTGGATAAGTCGAAGATACGATAACCCTTTTGGCTGGCTGCATAGCCAAGGAATACCCCGGCACGACCCCGTTCGCCAAATTTGTCAAGATGGGCATGTGTGTCCTTGTAATACACAAGGCAACCAAACACTCGCAGATGCTGATAGGTAGCTGGCCTCCCAAACAAAAGCTCATATGGTGTCTTGCCGGTGGCTTTTGTTGGTAGACGGTTTATGAGATAAACTACTGTGAGGATGCACTCTCCCCAAAATTTCACCGGAAGACTTGCTTGAAATCGCAAGGCGCGGGCAACGCCATTTTGCTGTGGAGTGTCGGTACAAGATGTTTGGAGCAGAATCCCCATATGAGTATAATAGTCGCGGAGAACTTCGGTGTTAAATTCTCTGCCATTATCTGCTTGAATTCGTCGGACAGTTTTGTGAAACTGATTGCGCACCATGCTGCAAAAACTCATCAAATACTTCCCAACATCAGATTTATAACGTAAGAGATATACCCACACACCTCGAGAATAATCATCAACAATTGTGAGAAAATAAAAAGCTCCACTGAGCGATGGAGTCTTGTATCCTCCCCAAATGTCAATATGGATAAGTTCAAAACAATCCGATGTTTTAATCATGGTAGACTGAAAAGGATCACGAGTTTGTTTAGCCCGTGCACAAGAATGAAAAAAATCACTAGTTTGAGTAAAAGAGACCGACAATAAATGACCCAAAAAGGAAGCTTTGGCAAATGACGGGTG